TTGTTCTTGTCAATACCAAATTAAGAGATGCAAATCAGGACCTATCCTGATTAACATTTATCTCCTTTAACTAATGTCAAGAATAAATCAACAGTGAAAATCCTTCTTTTTGTGACTTATAGTTTCAAGTCCCGAAGATTCCCTGTTCATTAATTAGCTTAAAATAATTCACTAGAATAATCCTCATTTCTATCTACAAATCTAAAGATTTATAAATATATTTAGCATGTTCGCTTTTAAAATATACCATAGCACACTTTATTTTATTTTGGAAATTTATTTTTTTAATAGAGAATACGGTTCAAAATTCAGAAAGTACAAAGTTTACAGTGTAAATTCTTGTCCCCTTGTCCAGCAGCCCTGAGGTTCTCCTTGTTGAAGGCAATCGGTATTACAAGTTTCTCATATATGCTTCCATAGTCCTTCCAACTGCAATCAACTACATATATATTCTCCCCACTTTTGTATGGAGTAGCATCCTCTGCATGTTCATTATAACCTCACCACATTTTTCTCACACTATACTGGAGATTATTCCCTTAATATGGAACATTGTGCATGAAGAGCATCCTCAATTATCTTTTACAGCTACAGAGTAGTTCACTGTGTGGGGCTATCCAAATTTATTTAACCAGTCTCGATTAATGGACATTTAGATGTTTCAAATTTTTAGCTATTACAAACACACAGCATCAGTATGCTTTAAAATAACACAATAAAAAACATACCTCAAATTACTAGCTAGGATGCTTACATTTCAGACCCAGATCCATCACAAAATTTTCTTTTTTTTTTTTTTTTTTTTTGAGACAGACTCTCGCTGTATTGTCTGGGCTAGAGTGCTGAAGCATCAGCCTAGCTCACAGCAACCTCAAACTCCTGGGCTCAAGCAATCCTCTTGCCTCAGCCTCCCAAATAGCTAGGACTATAGGCATGCAACACCATGCCTGGCTAATTTTTTTTTCTATTTTTATTAGAGACAGAGTCTCACTCTTGCTCAGGCTGGTCTAGAACTCCTGAGCTCAAGAGATCCTCCCGCTTTGGCCTCCCAAAGTGCTAGGATTCCAGGCGGGAGCCACCACTAGGCCATCACAAACTTAATGTTCAATTCTCCTGGAAAAGCTCTCATGTATGGTCCTTAATTATATCAGTTGATTGCCTTGGCTCAGTCTTATAGTTTGGTCTATTACCATCACCTTATTCATTTGGTTAATTAAACAATGTCTAAAGTCTAACAAGTTATTTTACTAAAATGCATAATAATGAGATGGCTAAGTATATACTAACCTGTTATGTGAGACAAGCTGACCTGCAGGTAATCCAAGGCCAGAGAATCAATTACTGCTTGTACGTTGTGTGCATCATCTTCTTGACTCTTGGAAATAATTATGAGGTCTGTGGGGAAAAAAGTCACGTAATTTTGCATCTGTGAGGGTCCAAGTTTTCATCTCTCTCTGACCAGGCTTCTTAGTAAACTCTGCTGCTACAAAAGTAGGGTCTGCCCAAACACAACAGGCTATAAAGTACAGATAAAGTTAATAAAGCCTGAATTCTACACAGTAGAATCTTTATTGGTTATTTACTGAACTTATTTTTCATATTGAATACTGATTGGCTGAATATGGTTGAATATTTGTTATACTCAACATATATATAACCATGTTCTACAAAAAGCACCATGTAAAGGAAGAAAAAGTGGTCTCGAAATTTAAGGAGATGTTAATAGCCTAACAAGGGAGGCAAGACATGAGATTTTTAACCCATAAGTATGAGCTGCTGTCCATGAGAGAGGAAAACAAAACCACAGCAGGTGTACAACGAGGGTTCTTGTATATGCCATTAAAACAGCCTATTGGGAATTATTGACATAAAAGTTTAAAAGGTCAGTACAGACCAGAGTGCAGAAAGATTTTAATATCAAGTTTGGAGTTTCTCCTTTAGTTTTCAGGAAGATGAACCCTAAAGAAGGTTGAGACTAGCACCAAAGATACAAGTTAGAGGTCATCCCATTACTCCAGGAAGTGATGAGGCCACTGACTACATGCTAACAATATGACAGGAAAAGAAACTATACAGATCTTATAGTAGTTATGATTATAAACTACACAAAGAAACAAAGGCTGCACAAGAATCTATGGATAAGGACTCAGATATTTAACCATGGATACTGCAAAATGATGTGGTACCTCTGACAGAAATGAGCAAGTCACAACTTATAAGATGACAGGATATGTGATTTATTAACTGTCTCCTTGGTAAACTAGGTTCATAAAATAAAAACATCAAATCCTTACCCCTAACACCCGTTAAGTTACAGGATCTAACAAATATCCAAGTTCCACTCAATTTTAGAACCTTTGAAAGTACATCTACAGAAAGGGTGTGACTTTCACAAACCATCAAATTGATTCACTCAAGGCTATGAGTAGATTCCATAAAGTATTCATTAAGGTAATGAATGCGATATTAACACAGAAACAAGAAGTAGACAAAAAGAAAATATGAAATTTTATAAATACCAAAGAATTTCACTAAAGGCACTAGAAAATTCTGACCTATGACACAGACATAATTACTATCACTTTTAGTACCCTCACCTGGTACCTTTTCTCCCAAAATGGATTGATAAAGAGCAATAAAAACATTAGCATCACAGTCTTCAAGTTCGTGTATCCTCAGGTGTATATGACATTTAAAAAGAAGGTTGTTTGCAATGGTTATCCACTCTGTTGGGAAAGAAGAAGAAAAGATTAGTCTTAGACAGCACTAGAAAAAGGTCATACACCCATTAAAAAAAAAATAATGCCCAGGTGGTGGCTCACACCTGTAATCCTGGCACTCTGGGAGGCTGAGGCAGGAGGATTGCTCAAGGTCAGGAGTTCAAAACCAGCCTGAGCAAGAGCGAGACCCCTGTCTCTACTAAAAACAGAAAGAAATTAATTGGCCAACTAGAAATATATAGAGAGAAACTTAGCCAGGCATGGTGAGGCATGCCTGTAGTCCCAGCTACTTGGGAGGCTGAGGCAGAAGGATTGCTTAAGCCAAGGAGTTTGAGGTTGCTGTGAGCTAGGCTGACACCAAGGCACTAGGCACTCTAGCCCGGGCAACAGAGTGAGACTCTGTCTCAAATTAAAAAAAAAAGGGAACCACGACCCTCACAAAAACAGACATTGAACTCTGAGAATATAAGGAATTTATTACAGAATTTCAAAGATGCTCCTAGGCATGATTTTTGAAAACATGTATCTAATTTCTTGGGATGATTTCTAGAGTGTTATCATTTCAATGTAGTTAAAAACTAAAATGCAAACCCAATGTTTACTGGTGCAAACTGAACTTTTGTTTTTTATTTGCTTATGACTGGCCCAGAACTAAAATCTTAAGTTATTTGCCAGTCGTTTTTATTTTATAAGCTTTTCATAGGTGTTTTTAGTTAAAACACAATTGCAAGCAAACAGGAATATTATGTCATAAACAAGACAGTTTGTTAATGATAATCAAAGGTTACTAGAAACTAATTAGTGGGTGTTGCTTCAAATTCCCAATAGTATTGATCATGTTTTTACACGATTATCTTGTGCAAATCATGATTGCTCTGGTGCCCAAGTTAGGTTGTTAAGAATTGGGATAATGACAAAATCAACATGAACGCATTTGTTAGTTTTTCTTTTTTATTATATTTGACGTATATGAAAGAAAACGTGGGAAATACATAAAAATATTCTTAAGCTCAGAATTAGCACATTACCAACACTAAGTTTCCTGTGTACCACTGTCTCCCCTTCCCCGGATATTGCTGGGATCAGCAAACTTTAAGGGTTTCTCGACCAAAGGTAATTTATAAAGCTTGAAACCCGTGTTTCCTGAAATGACTCGCGATTAAGAAGAAAATACTTTTATTCAATATGTTCTGGAAACAAACACTTGTGTGTTTTCAATGCACATTATCCCCTTCTTCCCATGCCCATTTCTCACAGCTGACCAAACCATGACAACTGGTTTGTACGCTGTCCTGGAGAAAAGGAGGAAAGCGTCCTAGACAACCAAATCAATTCGCTTTTCAAAAGCGGTGCTAGACAAAGCCAGTAACTCTAGAGGGCAGTGAAGAGAAAAAAGCACCACTAGTCTCCTTTGACAGGGACATCTTCACAGTACTAGTCCTCAAAACACCAATACAAATGTAGGTACGACAGCAGTCCTCTTAAGAGCCGAGAGCACTTGCACAGTGGCTAGTAACCCAGAGAAATACAAGTCCGGGTAAGACCCTTTTGACTACTCTTTATGCAACCGGGATGCGGGTGTCCTACTGGTCTCGACACAGGACCTCTCTCTCCCACACCCTGTATCTCAACGCCACGGCCTCGAAGCGAAGAGGGAGAGAAACTGAGGCCCTATCCAGACCCCCCGCGACTGCGACTGGGTATCCGACAGTCAAGAGCCCCGCCAGCAGCCCAGACCCAGTTCATGCCCGGCCAGGGCCTTCGGGGAGTTGGACGGCTTCAGTCCACACACACCGGGGCTCCAGGCTGAGACTCACCCGCTTCTGAGCCGGCCATGTCGCGGAGACAGGTCGCCACCGGACTCCCAGGCAGACGCGCGGGCGACGGTGTCCGGGAAGGGCCGCGCGGCGCACAACGGGCACTGGGAGAAAAGAGTACAAACTACAGTATGAGGATGGTGGGGAGAGAGAGGGCGGGGCGTTAAAACGGCTTCTCCCCGCTGATTGGTCATCAAAGGAGCACTTCCTTCTCACAGCACGCGCCTTGGCGGCGGTTTGTGGGCTCTAGACACCACTCTCCGCGGGCAGGAACCCGCTTAAATATTCTCAGGTCGGTGGGTAGGCTGGTCCAGGCCTGGCCAGTCTCCCCAGGGTATTAGAACTGCACTTCCGGTGAGCTATTTCGTTATGTATTCCTCCGCCGACGCCAACTTAAGGAGTGCGGTCCGCTCCCCCGGGTGGGAGGGGGGCAGTCACGTGACAACACCACGCTCCGCCTCCCCGTCTCATTTGGTAATGGGCGTGAGCGCTCTTTGAAGACGTAAACATCTCCAAGTGGGGAGAGTGGGTTGGCCTGTGCTGGCTGTTTTATCGTCTTGTTGGACCTAGAAAAGGGCGGAGTGGCTTGCTTGAGGTGTGGAAAGACGAGAAAAAGGTGAAGTAGAGGCAGTGCGGGAGCAGGCATTCCAGTGGTGGGTGGGTCCAGACATGAAAGGGGCGAAAAACGGGCGACTCTGAGAGAGCTGGGGGGGGAGGGGCGAGACCCTGCCAGATTCCGGAACGGCGGCGGGCGTTGTGGCCTCCGCGCAGGGGGCGGGGCGATTAGGTCATAGAGCGGCTCCCAGCATTCTTTGCGGCGCAGGAGGCGGTCCAGACTATAAAACCGGCTGCCGAATCGCGGCCGGCACCTCATTCATTTCCACCGGTCTCTGGTCGTGCAGCTCCGGCTCTTGTCATCGCCCTTCTTCCTCCGCTGCCGCCCCCGCAAGGCTTCGCCGTCGCCGAGGCCACCTCTAGCGACTCGTCGCACCCGATTCTCTCCACTTCGTTCCCCGCCAACCGCAATCATTGACGCCATGTCGGGTTATTCGAGTGACCGAGACCGCGGCCGGGATCGAGGGTATGGGACATGTCAGGCCCGGTGGGTGGGGGATGGGAGGCCCGTGAGGGAGGCGGCGGGCGGGGGTCGTGCGGGTTGGCCATCTCAGCTTAACCTTGGGCCTTTTAAAAGGAAGGCTTGCGCCATTTTGATATCCACGTAAAAGCGGTTGTACGAGATTTGCCAGTTAACCGCCCTCAAGCTGGTTTTTTGTTTGGGAGTGGGGGCCGTCGGTGCCTCCGCGATCTAGTAGCTGTTGGGGGAATTCAGAAGAGCGTTTTGTGAGGGCAGGAAAGCGCGACACTTCCGAAGCGGACGAAGGGGCCGCCGTTAGGTACAACCTTTCGGGAGGTGTTTTTCGGGGTTGCTGGGAATTCCGTGGGAGCCAGGGGACCATTTTCAAAGCCACTGATGATGTTGGGGGTAGAGGGTGGCCGGCGCCACCGGCATCGGCCATGTGGCTGAGCTGTGGGTACAAAATGCCGGCCTCGGACATGGCGGCGCCTTTGTTACCCCGCCCGGCGTAGGAGCTCAAAATGGCAGCGTCGAGAAAATGTGGCGCAGAGAGAAATGCGAGACAAAGGGGGAAGCGCCGCCCCAGCGGGAACGCCGCCCGGCCGACTCCGCCCGGGCCGGGACTCCTCCCCCGGTAGTTGCCGGCTCCTCCTTCCCTTTTTCCTCACGTTATATAATTTTGCTGTCGATCGGGGAGTCCTACCGCGGGATTCCCTCAACTCGTTTCGCTTGCATAAGTGTCCCCGAGAGCACCCTTGTTCTGCTCTCGCTGCCTGTGCTGTCCCGTTATCCATTCTTAACACTAAAGCTCCTTTGCTTGGAAACAGACGTAAAAATAACACCGCTGTTAAGCTCCTCCTTTTGTATCGTTCTTATCCTAGATACTTAATTCCTAAACTCTTGGTAAAGACTGTAGTAGCCATGAGCTTGTCTGTCCTTGTAATTCAAACTTCTGGTGTTTGGGCAGCGAGTTTCCGACCTGATAAATCCTAGGCTGTTTACTTGGCCTCAAAAATGTGTACTTGGGGGAATATGGAAAATGAGACAATGTTAATTGTTGCGGTTGAGAGACGCACTGAGGATAATGCTAGGTATACCTCTGAAAGTGTTTTCTATGGTTTTTAATGTGTGCCAAGGGATGGTAAATAAATTTGTGTAGAAACCCCTATATAGCCATTTGAAATGTGGATGATCTTTTTTCTTAATTTCAGGTTTGGTGCGCCTCGATTTGGAGGAAGTAGGGCAGGGCCCCTATCTGGAAAGAAGTTTGGAAACCCTGGGGAAAAACTAGTTAAAAAGAAGTGGAATCTTGATGAGCTGCCTAAATTTGAGAAGAATTTTTATCAAGAGCACCCTGATTTGGCTAGGCGCACAGCAGTGAGTAATTTCATGTGGCTTCCTCAAGATAACTCAATAATGGCTTTTAGTAAATCAAAATTTGACAAGTATTTTGCAAATGACTTGATTTTGATGGTTACACTTCATAGTTGGGGAAGAGGTGGTACTCACTTTTGGAAACAGGTGGCTTTGAATTTTCTACTTGAAACAGTTGAGTATAATAGACTATATGTGGTTCATGTGTTATAAAGGGTTTTCATGTGTGGTTCCAGATAAAAATGTAGGGCAGTTGTTAAACTTAGGTCTATACCAGTTGCGTGTTTCATTAGGAATGGTTGTCGTGAGACTTAAGGTTAATATAATTTGTTTTGCAGCAAGAGGTGGAGACATACAGAAGAAGCAAGGAAGTTACAGTTAGAGGTCACAATTGCCCAAAGCCAGTTCTGAATTTTTATGAAGCAAACTTCCCTGGTAAATATTAGTTTTGAGTCTGCCCCTGCATTTTTATTCCTCCCTTTGTCTTGGTATTACTAATTCTTAACTAAATCGCTGTCACTAATTACAGCAAATGTCATGGATGTGATTGCAAGACAGAACTTCACTGAACCCACTGCTATTCAAGCTCAGGGATGGCCGGTTGCTCTAAGTGGATTGGATATGGTTGGAGTAGCACAAACTGGATCTGGGAAAACATTGTCTGTAAGTTGGGGAGAACTCTTGAGTTAATCTGATACATGCAACAGAAAATGGAATGGGAATGAAAAGAAACCAGAGTATTAATATAATTTTTGTTGTTCTCACCCAAAATAGTATTTGCTGCCTGCCATTGTCCACATCAATCATCAGCCATTCCTAGAGAGAGGCGATGGGCCCATCGTAAGTGTGTTTATATCTTAAGTTTTTGGATAGAAGTGTGACATAGAGATGTGTAGAATATGTGGCAAAAGATGTAATTTTGTGGTTTATATAGAGAGATTAGTAATCTCATGCAGTTGTAGCTGGAGCTGCTTTGAGTATCAGACAACATAAAGGATCTGCCAGTATAACTAATAAATTAGTAATTTAAAAGTAATATCCAGATCTGTGCTAAAAAATTTGTTCCTCTTTTTTTAGTGCTTGGTGCTGGCACCAACTCGGGAACTGGCCCAACAAGTGCAGCAAGTAGCTGCTGAATACTGTAGAGCGTGTCGTTTGAAATCGACTTGCATCTATGGTGGTGCTCCCAAGGGACCACAAATACGTGATTTGGAAAGAGGTATTTAATAAAAAAAGGCTTTTTATTTGACATTGATGGTGCTAAAAATCGTAGATGTTGTAGTTACGCTTCTGTGTTTAATTGAAGGTGTAGAAATCTGTATTGCAACACCTGGAAGACTGATTGACTTTTTAGAGTGTGGGAAAACCAATCTGAGAAGAACTACCTACCTTGTCCTTGATGAAGCAGATAGAATGCTTGATATGGGCTTCGAGCCTCAAATAAGGAAGATTGTGGATCAGATAAGAGTAAGTGTCCTTAAATGTGTTATTTTTTCAAACTGAGTTCTAAATTCACATTTAGAGAACAATACTGATTTTCTTCCCCAAAAATCTGTTAGCCTGATAGGCAAACCCTAATGTGGAGTGCAACTTGGCCAAAAGAAGTAAGACAGCTTGCTGAAGATTTCCTGAAAGACTATATTCATATAAACATTGGTGCACTAGAACTAAGTGCAAACCACAACATTCTTCAGATTGTGGATGTATGTCATGATGTAGAAAAAGATGAAAAGTAAGTTTTATTAACTCTTAAAAACAACTTTGCTATATAAGTTTGAGGAGTAATTATTTTGTGTGTTTTCCTAGGTGATTTCAGTTGGCATGCTATTTGTTTAAAATTAGCCTGCCAGTCCTTCTGGAAAATCTCTTGAATCTGCCTGATAATTGGCTGTCCTCATTGATAGCATTCCCATAAGAATAGGAATTTGGCTGGTCCGATGGTAGTGGGTTATCAGAACTTATTAACATTAGTGTCACTAAAGTTGGTATTCAACCCCCACTGCTAAATTTGAGTGCCTTTTAAAAAAAATTCATGTGTCCCCTGGTTTACTTAGGGACTAAGAGTAGAATTGTTTGATAACTGGCCTTGCCAGGTGTTTCCTCTTTGACTTTTAGCCTTGCGAATTGGACTTAATGTTTCACTGACCATAAATTTGTGGCCATTTACTGCTTTTAAAATTCACAATTTTTCTTTTCTTTCTAGACTTATTCGTCTAATGGAAGAGATCATGAGTGAGAAGGAAAACAAAACCATTGTTTTTGTGGAAACCAAAAGAAGATGTGATGAGCTTACCAGAAAAATGAGGAGAGATGGGTACGTAGCTTTCCTCTATGGAAGCAGATGTATTGGAACTGAGTTCATGAAAGGGCAAACTTAGATCAGTGGGCAATGGATTTTAAGTTATGAATGGGGATCATCTGATTTTTTTTTTTTTTTTTTTTGAGACAAGAGTCTCACTTTGTTGTCCAGGCTAGAGTGAGTGCCGTGGCGTCAGCCTAGCTCACAGCAATCTCAAACTCCTGGGCTCAAGCGATCCTACTGCCTCAGTCTCCCGAGTAGCTGGGACTACAGGCATGTGCCACCATGCCCAGCTAATTTTTTACATATATATATATATCAGTTGGCCAATTAATTTCTTTCTATTATTAGTAGAGACGGGTCTTGCTCTTGCTCAGGCTGGTTTTGAACTCCTGACCTCGAGCAATCCGCCCACCTCGGCCTCCCAGAGAGCTAGGATTGCAGGCGTGAGCCACTGAGCCCGGCAGGGGATCATCTGATTTAAGTATAAATAATATGATTTTTCTTTAGGTGGCCTGCCATGGGTATCCATGGTGACAAGAGTCAACAGGAACGTGACTGGGTTCTAAATGGTAAATATTCCAAATGATGTTTTTTTCCTTAACCTAGGACTCCTTTCAGATAATTGATCATATAAATATGCCTTCTTTTGCAGAATTCAAACATGGAAAAGCTCCTATTCTGATTGCTACAGATGTGGCCTCCCGAGGGCTAGGTTAGTACAAACTCGCATTCATGGCTTGGTTTCCGAGAAGATCTCCATATATATAACTTTTTAAAGAAAGTTTATTGCTTTCTTTAACCTCTGCATTTTTTTCTAAGTTTTTTTCATATAAAGGTGCAGTCTTTGTGGCAAGGCCTAGGCATGACAATCGGAGGACTCGAGGGGGATGGAGGACTAGTGATCGGCTGGCTGCATCCAGTCGATTAGAGAGGTGAAAAGCTGAAAGTGTGCCAGTAATCTTCAAAAGGCAGAACATACCACCTCTGCCCCGTAAACTGTTCTCTCCGGGGGAAAAAAATGGAAGTTACCCTCACAGTTCACTGCCGTGGTATTTCTTCTGTCCCATGCTTTGCATGACTGCCATGGTACAGCATTGTTTCAAACTGTTGACTGTGATCTGTGGGTCTTTGAGTTTCAGTGAGTTTGCTGAAATGTCGAAGAAATATTTCCAAACTACAATGTTCAATGAAATTTTTGTTCAAGTTTGAAATGGAGAGAGCAGCTTTAAAAGGTGCTAAGCCTTTTACAAATTGGTGAGTACTGGCACATGAGATCTAGAGCAGGAGCAACTTCTCACACTTAGTCAGTGGGAAAAGAAAGCAGTGCTTTGAAAGTTCCTCCCTCACCTACACAGTAGTCGTCATGTCGAGACCTGCCAGAGAGAGACACATTCTCAAGTGAATCCTGGCTTCTTGGAAGCGCTTGCCTAGACGAGACACAGTGCATAAAAACAACTTTTGGGGGACAGGTATGTTTTTCTTGCAGCTGCGGTTGTAAGGTCTTGGCAAGACAAGCAGTGTGGCCAGAATTTTGAACTTCTGACGAATGTGTAATGCAAAGGACCTTGTATATTTTTAAGGGTCCTCAAAATGAGCACATGAAGAGATTGCTGTGAAACTTAAAGTGGCCCTACTGCGCAGAAGCATTCAGATGTCACTTGATGATCTGTAAGGGGACTTGCTGATATGGGAAATATATGCTAGGGAATACACATTCCTTTTGACAGGCTTTATCACTGGGTGGGTGAAGACTTACACAGATGACATGTGCTTTTTTTTTTTTTTTTTTTTTTTTTTTTTTTTTTTCAACCCAATGGTATTCCTACAAGGAATGGATAACCATTTTAACTGTATTTTTTGCAGCCCGTACCTTCTTGGGGATACAATTGTCTAACTTTTTATTTTTGGTCTGGCTGTTGTGGTGTGCAAAACTCCGTACATTGCTATTTTGCCACACTGCAACACCTTACAGATGTGGAAGATGTGAAATTTGTCATCAATTATGACTACCCTAACTCCTCAGAGGATTATATTCATCGAATTGGAAGAACTGCTCGCAGTACCAAAACAGGCACAGCATACACTTTCTTTACACCTAATAACATAAAGCAAGTAAGCGACCTTATCTCTGTGCTTCGTGAAGCTAATCAAGCAATTAATCCCAAGTTGCTTCAGTTGGTGGAAGACAGAGGTTCAGGTAAGACTAACTTTTGATAAGAAATTTGGTCATTTTGAGTCACATCATTGTCTACAAATCCATTTAAGTGGGATTATTGGAGGGTGAGTAAAATCTTCGGTGTAAAACTTAAGCCGAGAAATTGTGTAAACTTTTCATACTTAGTTCTATTTGATTCTATGTTAGCATATGTGATAATTTGTGCCACAGATATAATTCTAATTTGCAATTATTTTTTTGACAGGTCGTTCCAGGGGTAGAGGAGGCATGAAGGATGACCGTCGGGACAGATACTCTGCGGGCAAAAGGGGTGGATTTAATACCTTTAGAGACAGGGAAAATTATGACAGAGGTTATTCTAGCCTGCTTAAGAGAGATTTTGGGGCAAAAACTCAAAATGGTGTTTACAGTACTGCAAATTACACCAATGGGAGCTTTGGTAGTAATTTTGTGTCTGCTGGTATACAGACCAGTTTTAGGACTGGTAATCCAACAGGGACTTACCAGAACGGTTATGATAGCACTCAGCAGTATGGAAGTAATGTTCCCAATATGCACAATGGTATGAACCAACAGGCATATGCATATCCTGCTACTGCAGCCGCACCTATGATTGGTTATCCAATGCCAACTGGATATTCTCAATAAGACTTTAGAAGTATATGTAAATGTCTGTTTTTCATAATTGCTCTTTATATTGTGTGTTATCAGACAAGATAGTTATTTAAGAAACATGGGAAATGCAGAAATGACTGCAGTGCAGCAGTAATTATGGTGCACTTTTTCGCTATTTAAGTTGGATATTTCTCTACATTCCTGAAACAATTTTTAGGTTTTTTTTGTACTAGAAAATGCAGGCAGTGTTTTCACAAAAGTAAATGTACAGTGATTTGAAATACAATAAATGAAGGCAATGCATGGCCTTCCAATAAAAAATATTTGAAGACTGAATTAAGTGGAAATTGTACTTTATTTTACATATATAATGCCATGTAAAATTTTGCTTAGCTGGTCTTTTTTTTTTATCATAAAAACTAAATGACTGTTCTTTCCATTCTTTAATTTGGGAGGTTGGGAGGGGGGATCAGTAGGCCCTTTATAATAACCTATTCATATTACTAGAATTAAAATGGATTGGTTTAGGTGAATTTTAATTACAGGCTAAATTGCATAAAAATTTTGTCAGCTCCCAACATCAGGAGAGTCACTTTTTAATAGCCTATTTTCCTTATTTCTTAGTATGGTTAAATGAGAGCTAGTAAAATATATACAAAATCAGTTGTATAATATGACAGCTTTTTCAAGAGATTTATTTATATTCATGCTCTTGATGACTATATATGAATTACTATTGTGAATTACTGAAATGTTGAACAAAGCCAAAACACTAATTTAGACCCAACAGTTAAGTTTGAGTCTCTTTAATGGACTGAATTTGCACAGTATCCTTAGTGCAGGTTACTCGCAGATCCTAGTCTTCACAGGCGCCCTGGGGCTTGTTAGTCACACTGGAAGTCTTGAATGTCTTTCCAATAATTCAGGGAATTTTAGAGATCTCTAAACTGTGAGGTCTACTCATACAGACTAACACAAGGAAAAAAACCTCATTAAAATTCATGGTTAATCAGGACACAACATAACCAAAAGCACAGCAAATAAGTTTTCATATTAGGAGGTTCAACATTGGTTTAATGTTAGATAGATCCAGGGGATAGCTTTAGATTTAACTTTGGCTCACCAACCTAACTTTCTAATCTTTTATTTCAGTAGTAGCTAGAAATAGGTGTTAATGTCTTCCCAGAGAGTCTGGTATATGTGTTTTTTGCCAGAAGAGAGGTCTTCGGGAGATTTTATTTAAATTCTGATTATTTTAAACTGAGGCTTTAATGTTAATGCCTTATGACTAAAATGTAAAATTAGGATTTGTTGGGGGTGGGGGCTGGGATGAGGAGTGGCATTTCTAGGGACTAATACGTTGAAATCTAATTCAGCCTCTAGTAACCTGAATGGTTTTCAATGGCATGATTAAGTCAAATTCATGGTTTTTTAACTTAGAAACTTTTGGGGTAGGAGCGTTTATTAATTACATTTTACTGTTTAATGTCTTAACGTGGGCCTTTTAATTTGTAAACATTGAAATTATTGTGGGGCTGTGGAAAACATTTACCTTTGAAGTTTTAAAAGACAGTCCACTTTTTAGCATGTGTGTTGTGTCCAGCCTGTGGTTGTCTTAATAAATGTGAATTTTCTCCCCATTCTCTCTTTTATTTATTTGCGTAATAGGCTTTTTCCCCTGGTGAGAATTCCTGAGTGTGAAAAACACCTGGTAATAGTACCCAGCTTTGCAATTGCTATAATGCTTTCCAGCAATACTGTGCCACTTTCTAGCTTGACTTTTTTTTAACCATTATACATACTTAAGGAATTACTTCCTGTGCCCGTCCTACAGCACCTTAGCCATGACCAAAAACTTTAGTAACTGAGTTGCTAAGCTATTATCCTTATAAACTGACCCTGGCAGTCTAGTGCTGCTGCTTTTCTCCTAAGGCCATTAATCTGTCAAGTTTCCTATACCCGGTTTAAGGGGAAGCTAGTACCAGGGAATCATGGGCCGTGCCACCTCACTACCTGACCAATTTTTTTAAGGTCTCTTCCTGTTTAGATAAAGATTGTAAAGTCAAGTCTGCCAGGTAATCATGGGTCTCTGTTTTGAGCACTCATAACCCTCATTGCATGTTTTGAACCGGTGGAAGGGTCCTCTGGTAGAAGAAATTAGGGCCTATACGTGAGTGGTTCTCTGTATTACCAGGAGGGCTTGCGGGGGTTGGGGGAGCCCTCAGTTCATCGTTAATGCATTCCCTGGTGATGTAAGTGCTGCTGACTGGGCCGGCCCTTTCCGAGCCACTGCAACATGCAGGGCGACTGTACCCTGTTACACAGCCCCACCGCACCATGAGGTTAAGCTTCAACACAACTACTCTGGAATTAGACCTGCTGGCAGCAACACTGCCTAGAGTTATGAAGGCCTGGGTCATCAAACCTCCACAAAGTACTAAAACTGTCTTTTGAAGTAGGAACCAAACTTTATTTTCGTGACACTTTAGGTTGAAAAATGTGTATTTAAATGGTGACTCGGTGAACACCAAATTATTTTGACAGTTTATCTGGACTGGCAAGAAACTAAGGTAAAGGTGAACAGTGCTATGGCACGGTAAATGAAAAGCAGGTGGGGTAACTTTTATCTGTGCTTAAGAGGAAAAAGATCAGCAATTGGGGAGTGGGAGGGAGCGGCGCCAGACGAAAAATAAGCTAGCTCAGATAAACCATAACATCCCGCATCACGCATGGCGGGCGGGGGAAGGCTGTGGAGGCCACAGCCGGAAAGCAAAGATGCACTTCCGGGGCGGGGCCTGCTGCCCACGTGCACGCTCACTTCCGTCGCGCCTGAGCCGTCGCCGCTACCTGCTCGGCTGCAGTTGTGGCGGTTTATTGGGATCAGCCGACTGATGGGAGCTTGTGCTCTTTAACTCCCGAAGGAGATGCGCTCTCATGCAGCAGTCAGAGCCTGCCATAAAGTCTGCAGGTGCCTGCTGTCTGGGTTTGGCGGGCGAGTAGGTGGGGGGCAGCCGGAGCAGTTGACGGAAAGCGGTATCTCCCGCGGAGGGCACCTGGGATCGCACGCTGAGCTCCACCGGGGCAGCGAGCCCACCGAAGCCTCCGGGTCTGGAGAGGGAAGCGAAGAGCTGTTAGAGATCTGTCAGAGAAGGCATTTCCTGAGTGGAACCAAGAGGCAGCTTAGCCGAGATTCTCTTCTGAGCGGGTGCCACCCTGGCTTTGGACCCCTGGGCATAGAGTTGCGGAAGAATCTGGCCTCAGAATGGTGGTCCTCGGTGGTGGTGTTCAGGGAACAGGTCTTCCCTGTGGACGCCCTCCACCAGGAACCAGGCCCTTCACTGCCCGGGGACAGTGCCTTCAGGTTAGTTTCTGCAGAAACTCTACGAGAAATCTTGCAAGACAAAGAGCTGAGTAAGGAACAGCTAGTAGCTTTTCTTGAGAACTTATTAAAAACTTCTGGGAAACTACGGGAGAACCTTTTTCACGGTATGCTTCATGATTTCATACTTCAAAACAGGTGTCGGGTGGAAAGGCAGTCTCATTCGATTTGGGGGATTTTTCTCATGCAAAGGAAGCCTTTTTGCAGTAGTCGAGTATATTAATAGTGCTGTCACCTGTAGAAAATTGGTCCATGGATCACTTCCTTAAAGAATCTGTCCAAAGGACTTGAACACTATCTTGGGACTTAGAATTATACGGGGCAACCCGTATAATTTTAGAGTTCAGTTGAGTAGCCCTAGAATTAGGACCTCAATTCAATCCTGCGTTTAAACCATTTGTTCATTGTTACCAAAATGTTTACAAATACTTCTACAATTATTCTTGAATTTTACACATAATCAAGAGCTCATTTTTCTAGACCAAAAGGAAGATACCCTCCCTCAATTTTTCTTACTAAATGTAATTTACAACCTGTTGTTTGAAGATCTCTCTAGGTAATTTTTGAGCCTGCCAAATAATAGGACTATTCAAGTTTTATGAGTGATTCTTGAGTGAACACACAGTAATTTGAGGGCATCATTTGCCTTTAAAGTCAACACAATTGCAGAGATTCTGAAAAAATTAACATTCTTTACAGGACAGACTCGCTGCAAGTATCTTTGTAAAATGCTGCCCTTCCCATTTTGGTGTTATAAAGTAACTTAATCTAAATGTTCTTGGTTCTGAGAATTAGTGCCTGTATAATCTTTTAAAGATTTCCTTAATGAAATAAAGTAAAACAGGTGATAAAGGTGACACTTTCAATTTGTAGTATTTTAATTGTTCCATGGTGGCTTTACTTTGAGGGAGTTAAATCACTGTCTGCTCATTTACCATGGCCCAAAACAAATCAGTCTTCCCTATCACTGTTGAATGAAATCACCATCCTCCCAGTTGCACAGACTTGAAAATGAGATTTAGTTCTTTTAGGTATGCATTCATTCAAGCATCTATTGTTGTGGCAGGCATTTTCTCACCTTCAGGAAACTTAAGTTGACCTAAATGCCAAATCCTTTGGTTGTCTAGATCAAATTCTTGCTCTCTTTAGTCCAAGTCTGAACTGTTGTGGTAGCCTCTACTTACGAATAGCTTTTTAAAATTCTCAGCCATTATATTTCCAAATGTTACTGCCCCATTGTCTATCTTCTGTCCTTCTGTGACTAATTACACACCTTAGACCTTTTCCCCCATCTTGTCATCATCTGACAAGATGTGGAAAATTAATAATTATTTATGTGTGATTGATGGACATATTCATCACATTTTAAGGTCCATGTCTAAAACTGAAAACTATCTGTTTCTAGTATCTGTTTTTCTCTGGGCTTTTGGTCATTTGGACTTTTGTACTGATACTCTAATCTGTGTATAAAAAATTAGATAAATTAAGGCTTTTGTTGGTGCTTTATTTCTGGGATGCTTTACTTTTGCTTCTGGCAGACAGAGTGGGGACATAGCTTCTTAATACAATCAGGGATTAAACTGATTAGAGGCTGAGCTTCAGTCTTTTCACTTCAGCTCTGTTCTCCTACAGTGTAGCCCTTTAAATGCCCCAAATGAAAGCCTAGGGTGTATCAGTACAATTTTTTGTACTTCCCCATCCCATAATATGGCAGGAAGTTCTACTTAACATTTCAGCTTCTCAGCTCTGCTATTTGAGAATTGGAAAAGCTCCACTACATGTTGAGTTCACCTCTCTGTTCTTGCCTGCTTTCAAAATTTTGGACCCTCAAATTCCTTGCTGCCTTGGTATCTCTCCTATATCTTTAAACAGATTTAAAAAAAAATTTGGACCAGTTTTTCTTAACAGCTAATCTACTCAAATCAAGTAACTTGAACACAGTGCTGTCATTTAATGGGATGTAGTCTAAGTACATAAGGAACTACAAAGACATTGTGAACTTTTCTTAGATTCATTCAAAGTAGAAATGTTATGATTCTGAAACTATTTCATGTGTATTATAGGATAAAATAATTAGATTAATGTTATTAGAAAACAAGATCTTCACTGTAAAAGAAAAGATAAAAATATAAAAGAAGGCAAGGATAAAATAATGTTAAATTTGAACTGGTAATATCAGTGTGAACTCAATGATTTTAAAAAATGTATGTATTTCCTTGCTTCATCGAAAGAGCCTAGAATCAATAACACTTAGTAGCTATGAGCACACCCTGTGTGAGATCCTGTCTCAAAAAAAATCAGCCATATGTTAGATGATATTGTGGTATTATGGTTAACTTTTTAATGGTGTAATAATGGTATACAGAGGATATTTTTATTTTTAGATGATGTATGCTGAAGCGTTTGGGTGAACAAGAAAAAACAAATGTGGCAAAATGTTAATAATTAATGAATCTAGATGAAGAGTCTACAGGTGTTCATTGTATATAGGTATTCTTTCAGTTTTCTTGTAAATTTGAAAATCTTCAAACTAAAATGTTGGGGATTGGGAGGCCGGGGCGGGCGGATTGCTGGAGGTCAGGAGTTCAAAACCAGCCTGAGCAAGAGTGAGACCTCATCTCTTCTATAAATAGAAAGAAATTAATTGGCCAACTAATATATATAGAAAAAATTAGCTGGGCATGGTGGTGCATGCCTGTAGTCCCAGCTACTCAGGAGGCTGAGGCAGGAGGATTGCTTGAGCCCAGGAGTTTGAGGTTGCTGTGAGCTAGGCTGACGCCACGGCACTCACTCTAGCCTGGGCAACAAAACGAGATTCTGAATGAATGAATGAATGAATGAATGTATGTATGTATGTTGGGGAGAAACTACCTAAAATTAAGTGATAATCAGTTAAGATTGATCTTTATAGCTCCAAGGTACTTGTACTGCTGTATTAACATTATTATACTATTAATTTCTCTGTAAATTGACAAAAATGATTTGGGTTTATGGACTAGATTTATACAATGATTGATTTATCTTTTGACAGGTGCCTTGGAGCACTATGTAAATTGCCTGGAGCTGGTAAACAAGAGGCTACCTTATGGCCTTGCTCAGATTGGAGTGTGTTTTCATCCTGTTTCTGATACTAGGCAGATACCCAATGATGTTAAAAGGTACAAAAAGTGGCAAATAACTTGGCCTTGTATTTAAATAGTCAAGAATCAGAAATTTCTACTTTGGGATAGATTATATAATTTTAAAATAAGCTAACATTCTGATTTTTTTGGTATCTAAAGAATTGGTGAGAAGACTGAAGCTTCATTGGTGTGGTTTACTTCTCCAAGAACTTCAAGCCAATGGCTTGATTTCTGGTTACGTCATCGACTCCTGTGGTGGAGAAAGGTACTACGATAATTACTGTTAATTTAATAATTAATAGGTAAATTGTCTTAATGTGTCAAGGGCTTCTATATTATAAATGAAATTTTATTTGATGTGGCTATGCTATATTTGTAAGAGACAGCTATGATAAGTCAACAAATACAAATAAAAGACCCTTTGTGGTTTTCATTATTCCAGATAACAAAGTTATTTTGGTAGAGACATTTGTTGAGCTCAGATGCATTTGTTGATAAAGCTTTTTCTGTATAAGGTAGAGTTCAGACCCCACACCAAGCATTCCTGGTTGGTATGGAGTTTGACCCTGGCCCTCTCTTAAAGCTTCAGTTTTTTGCTACCTACCCCCCTGAATTCTATGTGTTAGTCAAAAGGGTTCTGTAATTAATGATCACATTTTAGTATATGCTGAAAAGAGTTGAAGTAAGCATTTTTTGTCTTACTCTTCTTGTCCTGCCTCTTCCTGAATCTTAAAAATACCCTAACTGTCTGGACGTGGTGGTTCACGCCCACCATCCTAGCACTCTGGGGAGGCCTAGGTGGGCCAGTCGCTCAAGGTCGGGAGTTTGAGACCAGCCTGAGCAAGAGCGAGACCCCGTCTCTACTATAAATAGAAAGAAATTACTTGGACAGCTAAAAATCTATAGAAAAAATTAGCCAGGCATGGTGGCTTATGCCTGTAGTCCCAGCTACTTGTGAGACTGAGGCAGAAGGATTGCTTGACCTTAGGAGTCTGAGGTTGCTGTGAGCTAGGCTGACACCATGGTACTCTAGCCCGGGCAACAGAGTGAGACTGTCTCAAAAAAAGAATCCTCAAACTTACTGTATAGTGATAAAGTCTGGGGGAAGGGGAGAAATCCCTAAACATCCACCTAAAATAAGTGAAGTAATCAAGCACTTCATAGAAGGATAAGAATGATGTCTAGCTCATACTTCTTTATCCCATTTAGTTCATGGTTAATTTCCCCTCTTATTGGCCACCAAAGGGCTAGATACCATTAACAGTTTTTCTCTGAAGTTCTTTCAGACTAAAAGACAGCATTTTTGCAGCATACTCAGTATTTTTACTTTTTTTTTCTTATTGTTTTTTTGTTTTTTGAGACAGAGTCGCCTGGGCTAGAGTGCCATGGCGTCAGCCTAGCTCACAGCAACCTCAAACTCCTGGGCTCAAGCGATCCTCCTGCCTCAGCCTCCTGAGTAGCTGGGGACTACAGGCATGCCCACCATGCCCAGCTAATTTTTTCTATATATTTTTAGTTGGCCAATTAATTTCTATTTATAGTAGAGATGGGTCTCACTCTTGCTCAGGCTGGTTAAACTCCTGACCTCAAGCACAACCACCTGCCTCGGCCTCCCAGAGTGCTAGGATTACAGGCGTGAGCCACCGCGCCCGGCCAGTATTTTTAATTTTTAAAAATTAAGTTTCGGCTGGGTACCTGTAGTCACAGCTACTCAGGAGGCTAAGGCAGGAGGACCACTGGAGCCTCGGAGTTTAAGGCTGTGGTACCCCACGATCGGGCTTGTGAATAGCCACTGTGTGTCCAGCTAGGCAGCATAGGGAGACATCATCTCTTAAAAAAAACTGAAGCACCTTTAATTTTTAGAGATAATTATGGGATTAAAAGTAAATTAACACTTTAAGAAGACACGTTAAGAAGACAAACTTACTTTTCCAGTTTGCTGTGAGTCCATCCAACTTCAGCAGCAGTGATTGTCAGGATGAAGAGGGACGGAAAGGAAACAAACTGTACTACAACTTTCCCTGGGGAAAGGAACCAATTGAAACCCTGTGGAATCTAGGAGATAATGAACTTTTACACATGTATCCTGGAAATGTGTCTAAATTACACGTATGTTTTACGTTTCACACCTATGTATCCTTTACCTGGAATCTCTATAATCATTTCTGAACCATTTGACAGTAAGTTGCAGACATGATATCCCATGATTCCTTAATACTTCTGTGTGTATTTTTCAGGCGCGAAGATACTCATATTCATAACCACAATAGAGCCATCAAAATCAGGAAAGTAACAGTAATCCACTGTTACCATCCATTCCACAGAACCCTACAAATTTAACCAGTTATCGCAGTGGTGTTCTTTTCTGTGTCCGGAATCCCATCCAGGCTCATATGTTTTATGTAGTTGTCATGTCTCTTTTAGTCTCTTTCAAGAACAGTTCCTTTTATCCTTCCTTGGCTTTCATGACCTTTACATTTTTGAAGAGTACAGGTTAGTTACTTTGTAGAATGTCCCTTGGTTTGGATTTGTCTGATGCTTCCACATGGTTTATGTATTTTTACCAGGAATACCACAGAAGTGGTAGAGCTGCCCTCTTCTCAGTACATCATATTGGGAGGCATACAGCATCGAAGTGTTACTTGTGATGCTAACTTTTATCACTTGGTCAGGATGGTGTCTACCAGGTTTCTCCAATGTAAAGCTAATAAATATTTTGTACTTACTAATGAGTAATAAGCAGGTACTGTAAGGCTATGTAAATAACCTCTTGGTCACCAGATTTTGATTTGCTGGTTAAGCATCCATTGATGATTCTTGGCCAAATCAGATATTACTATAGGGTTTGCTAGATGGTTTTTCTTTTTCTTTTTTCTTTTTTTTTTTTTTTTTTTTTTACTAATTTCATCATTCCTTCTAGACTTATTGGTCAGTAGTATACTGTGGGGTAGAGCTTTTCCTTCTCGCCCATTTATTTAAATTTTTTTTTATATTAGTGTGGACTCACGGATTCACAGATTCCTATTTTTCTCAGAGGGTTACAATCTGTTACTATCATTATTTTTTTTTTCTTTTTTTTTTTTTTTGCTGGTACCAGTACAAGGGAAACTATCATTATTTTGATGCTCAAATTGTCCTAGACTTGGCCAGTGTCCCTTTGACATATCTCCGTCATTCTAGCACTTCCTTTTTGCAGCAACAGATTGTTCCAGAATCATCTGTTTTCTTTGTTTTTTTAATTTGGATCATGTTTTTTAATTTTTATTTATGTATTTATTTTTTCAGAATATGGGGCATCTTGTGTTTTCTTGACCTAGCTGTGGAGTCAGCTATTTCTCCAAAGAACCTTGGTTCCTGTTAGAGGAGAATGTATTTAAAAACTGAGATCTTGCCATGAGGTTTACTCCTTACAACCTGGTATCATTCCTCCTGGGCCCTCTCAGTGGACACAACTAAGAAACACTTGTAGATGATTACATACATATATATTTACCTGTTTTTTTACTTAAGAGACAAGGTCTTGCTCTGTTGCACAGTCTAGAGTTCAGTGGTGCTAACGTAGCTCACTATAACCTTGACCTCCCCGGTGCAAAGGCTGCACCCACCTCAGCCTCCTGAGTAGCTGGGAGTGATTTTTTTTTTTAATTATTTTTTGTAGAGACAGGGTCTGCCTGTGTTGCCCAGGCTGATCCTCCGCCCTAAGCCTCCTAAAGTGTTGGGATTACAGGTGTGAGCCACCACGCCCAGTCACATAAGTATATATTTACATACTTGCCTACCTCTACATCTGTGTCTATTTGCCCAGGGGAAGAAAGAAAGGCTACAGAACTTAATCCTGGACATGCTACTATTCCCTCCCCTCTAGGTGCTCTCACCAGAGAGCAGGGAAGGAGGAAAGGTAGTTAGAAAGCTTGGTCCTGAGTACTTGGCCTCCTCTCTTCTCTAGTAGTCACACTGGCCAAAAGTTGGGCCCTGGACCTCCCAGGCTGGTTGTCCCAGCCAGCTGACCCAAGCTCAGCCCTGGCAAGAGGGGAAAAAAGGTGCTTTTTTTTTTTTTACTTTGTAAAGTAAAACAAAATTTTCAAAAATTGAAGCAAATGATATAATCTCATTAGAAAAGGGATACTGCCTTCTAAAACTTTCGAAGTTCTAAAGTTTTAGAAGGTATGTGGATCGGTAGAATCATGCTGAACCCCTCTTGAGTGGTTCCAGATTTGAACATTTAGATTTTCTTACTGGCTTAGATAGAGTTTTTATGTGCTATTTAGTGGCTAATATAGTCTTACAGTAAAAAAAAAAAAAAAAAGTTATCTGAAACTTGAGATTTTTTTTTCCTTATCAGTTTGAAAAAGAGTAAATAAATTTATCAATGCTTGATTTGTATTATGTATTATGGTATATTTTACAATTATAGCCTTAGCCCAAAAAGTAAGTTTTTAAAAGATGTTTGTTTTTTATGAAAACTTTACATTTCAGGAAATTCTACTCCAAACTCCTTTCCTTAAGCACATCAACTATTTTGTTTTTCCTAAAAGCTCTTCTGAACTTTATTAATAATCTTCAAACAATTTTTACATTTAAGAGTGTTACCTTTCCAAATACTGATTCTCACCTAGGAAGCACTGGAAAAAAGTCATGCCTAGGTCCCACTCCAGTTGTTAGTGCAAAATCTCTGGGAGTAGAGCCCCAAGCATCATTATGTTTTAAAATTCATAGGTGCTTCTAACATGTAGGCAGTTGAGACCCACTGATTTAAAACCCTGAGCTCCCTGAGAGCAGAGAATTTGTCATTGTCTTTGTGAGCCTGGCACAGAGGGGCTGCTTTGCTAAATGACATTTTACTTTTGTATTCTGATTGTGTAGGTCTAAAATATGTAATTTTGAGAAAGAGTTGTACTAAATACTTTATTTTTGTTCGACTTTTCTGTGAAGGGCCGAGATGGACGGAAAAATGTAGTTCCTTGTGTTCTGTCTATAAATGGGGATCTAGACCGAGGCATGCTGGCCTACCTCTACGATGCTTTCCAGCTGACAGAGAATTCCTTTACAAGAAAGAAAAATCTTCATAGAAAGGTGCTTTTGATACTTCAGAGATGGATTTGGGAAACAAAAAATATGGGTTTTTTTTCCTTATTTTTGTTAGTGTGCTTGGTTTCTAACATAAACTCTGAATAATAAATTTCTTTTAGTACATGTAGTTTAAGTATTTTTCATTTTTTTAGAATCTGGCCACAGGAATAATAGTAAGGTTCTCCTAGCACTCTGGGAGGCCGAGGCGGGAGGATCTCTTGAGCTCAGGAGTTTAAGAGCACAAGTGGAGGGAATTGTCTGGAAACTGTGTTATTTGAAACAGGGAGGAAAAGGATGGTGTGGCTATAAATGGGCTCCTAAGGCCAGTTAGCCTTTAATGGACATTTTACTCGCACCCTGTATTTTCTCAGGGAAGGCAAGAGTACCGGTTTAAAATGTGGAGGAATAGGGGTTTAAGCGGCAAGAGTGTGGAATACTCACGTTCCCTTTGAACATAAAAGGAAGCTGCTTGAAATCAAAAGTTTTAACAAGTAACGTTGAGTTGTGAGTGCTCAGCTGAGAATGGGAACTATGAATTTGTGGCACCATTCTACTCAGGAGATCCTCCTGCCTCAAGCTCCTGAGTAGCTGGCACTATGGGAGTGTGCCACCACGCCCAGGTAATTTTTAAATTTTGTTATGTTGCTCAGGCTGGTCTTGAACTCCTAACTCAAGTGATTCTCCTTCCTCAGCCTCTAAAAGTGCTGGGATTACAGGAGTAAGCCACGTTGTCCTGCCCCCTTCTTTTTCTTATACCCACATACAAACCATCAGCAAATCCTACTTGACTTTAACTTCAAAATATATTCTGAACGGGACCACTTCCTACCCGCTCCAGCCTCCAATGCTAGCACCCGAACTAAGCCACCATCATCCCTGCCTGCCCCCTCGGCCCCCACAGTGACTCTGTTAAAAGGCACTTGTTATGTTGTTCTTCTGTCTAGAATACTCCAGAAACCTTCATTTCACTTAGAGGAAAGACCAAAGCCCTTCCCTTTTCTCCCAGTCTGCCCAACAGCACTGACCTTGCTGTTTCTGGAACATGCCAGGGATGCTCCCAGCTCAGGGCCTTGTCATTTGTTCTCCCCTTTGCCCAAAATGCTCTTCCTCCATCATCCACTCATCTTATTCCCCCACCTCCTTTCAAACGTTTGGTCAAGTGTCACCTCAGGGAGAGGACCTCTGACCACCTTAGTTAACATTGCTGAAAGCCACCTACCAACCTGCCCCTGGCAGGCACTTCCCATCTTCTCCACCCCCCCCCCTTTTTTTAACACTTACCACCTTCACATATATTACTTCCTTACTTTGTTTATTATCTGTTTGTCCCTGCCATGTGGGACAGAGATTTGGCCTCAGCACCTAGAACTCTTCCTGGCGTTGCACAGCCATTCACGTTTGTTGGGTGGATGGGTAAATGGGAAGAGTGTAGGTTTTGGCAAGAGAGAGAAAGTCCAAGTGATGGGCTGTGTGTCCTGGACTGGGTAGAGTTGGAAGTCATGCCAGGAAGAGGCATTTTGACTGAGGGAAAACAGAGTTGTTAGAAAATGGGAGAGTCTCAAGTTAATTTATTTCAGCAGAATATCTAAGTGGAGAAATCTACAGGCAGCTGATTACATCCTTACGTAGTGTTTTATGACCTCAGCTAACTTCCATTTTCACATAGGAAATTTAACTGTTTAAGTGACTTTGTGTGGTTATACTTGTGATGTATTTAAACAAGATGTGCTTTTCCCCCCTTTTCCTGTCCTCTCCCTCCCCACTGTAATTGCCTCAGGTACTTAAACTCCACCCTTGTCTAGCCCCTATTAAGGTTGCTTTGGATGTGGGAAGAGGCCCAACAGGGGAACTGAGACAGGTGGGTTAAATGAGTTTAAATGTGTGATTTTGATTACAGACTGAGTATTCATTATCCAAAATGCTTGGAACCGAAAGTGTTTCAGATTTTGGATTTTTTGGACTTTGGAATATTGGAAGAATACGTACTGATCGAGCACCCCTAATTCAAAAATCCCAAATGTGAAATATTCTAATGAGCATTTCCTTTGAACTCAAAAACTTTCAGATGGGGTTAGGAATGCTCGATCTGCATAACCATTACTCCAGGTCAACTTGGGAGCTTACTGTTTAAAATTTGATTTTGATTCACTTGCTTTTAAAAATGTTCTAAATAATGAACTGTGGATAAATACCGTGGTTAATTATAGATAATTTGAAGTATAGTGTATTAAAGACACTGATTTCAATTCGGTGGGTTTTGCTGTTAAAGTTATGCCCACACATTGTTTAATGAGTTTACATAGTTTTAGTAATTACAGTGTTTGTCCAGATGTCTGGTGAATTATTTCTTTCTCCTTTCCCTTTTAACTTAACACTCTGGTATAAGCAAATGTTCTAGGTCTGTAATTTTCTTTTGATTTTTCTAATCTATCTGTTCTAATTATTAAATACTCTTGAGAAAAGCCTAGGGGGAGGTTTTATTTCTTTCCATAGATTCCTTCTGCAGTCGTCATTTCTGTCTGGGTGACTCAGACCTATCCAGGACCAGATAGAAAAGATAATGGCTTATCTGTCATTTCTCCCCCGGTGTGGCACTCTCCCCACCACCCTTGTAGCATGCAAGTTCCTCACGGCCCACTACCCTGCTCCCTTGCCAGGGACATTTGGTAATGTCTGAGGACATTTTTGTTTGTCACAGGAGATGGAGAGTGCTACAGGCATCAGGTGGAGGCCAGGGACGCTGCTAAACAATCCTGCTCTAGAGTCGTTGTTCTTGTTAAGGGGGGGTTAAATTTTGGTGTTTTTTTATTTTTTATTTTTTTTGCTTCTTTAAAGTTTACTATGTCATTTATTCATTAGTACTTCTATTATTCCAGTCAGGCCTTTGTTTCTGGCATTCTACTGAAACTACTCATTCTCTTTTTGAAACATTTTCCGTAGTTGGAAAACCACACCTGGTTGTCCACGTACCTTTTTCTTTCCTGGCTCTTCAGTCTCTTCCTGACATAGAATTGTAACCTTAGGGCTCAGATCTCACCTCTCAGATGAGTTTGGAATTAACCACAGCCCTTTGGACCTACGGTTTTTTTCCTGAATAGAATCTGCTTTGGTTTTGTTTGGTTTTGAATGATGATGATAATAAAAATTGTGTTTCGTATAAAAATGTCCCCCAGAACATTTGCATTTAGTATTCAGCTTTGCAGTACTTAATTTCTTCATTTTCAGAGGAAGCATATAACTTATTAAGTATATAATATATAAATTATAAACATTAAAATAATTAAAGGAATTTATACCTATTTTAATTGGTCCATTACCCATTTTAGAGATTTAAGATGGTAATTTGTGGCTTCTCAAAAATTGGATAATCAGTCTAGCTACTTTTATGTCTTTCATATTTGAAGTTTTATATTTTTCTCCAGGTTTGTCAAGGGATATTTAATGAATTACTAGAAAATGAGATTTCTGTGTGGCCTGGTTATTTGGAAACTGTACCATCCTCATTGGAACAGCTTTATTCAAAGTAAGAATTATCTTCCTTGTCATTAAAAGAATTATTTATTCAGAGTTTTTTATTGTATGTTTCTTTATGGTAATAGAAATCTTTTCTAAATATATATAAAATAAAATTTAAATTATTCCTCACTTTCCCTTCTATAGAACCGTGTACCCTTAGTTAATTGCTATAGCAGGAGGGAACAGTATTCAGTAGGTATATTTGAGCACATAATATGTACAGTTACAAGACTTAATGTCATGAAGTATATATGCCTCAGTTTACTTATCGGGGATGAAGTTATGTACATAGCATGATTTATGGAATGAAGACTGAAGGAAGATGAGTGAACTGGATTTCTGCTGGCATTGAGCTTCATTCAGAGAATGAACAGAAGAGAATTCTATCCTGAAGGAACAGAAAACTAATATTCTCAGGGGTTGGTACCTCTCTTTACCTCTGTTTCTGCTTGAGGTAGAAACTGGCTATCATCTTTAGCTCCTTTTCTTCCTTACTCTCCACATCCGATCCATCGCCCAATGTTGTCAGCCTGCCTCCCAGATATATCTCACATCCATACCTCTGTCTTCACTGCCACTACCCAAATTAAGGTGCCAAAGATCTCTTACCTGGATAATTTAAATAATCTCCTAATCTCTCTGACAATAGTTTTGCCCTCTACTATTTCATTAACTTCTGTTTTTTAATAAAGTACTCCAGTCTTCCTCCTTTGGGTTTATTTTGGTCTTTGTTTTAGCTTTTTTTGTCGAATACATATCTTTTGGGTGAAAAGTTGTGAAGCTTTGTATTTTGCTCTTCAGTACTGTCATAACTTGTTAAAATATACCTTCCAGATAATGTCCATAGAAAAACAGATTGCTATAAATGGAAATAGAGCAACTAATAGTTTTACCATATATAAAATAAAGGGGTGGTACTTGAACTTAACAATCTTCTCAGATTCTAAAATCTTATCCTCAGGTACCGTGGCTCACGCCTATAATCTTAGCACTCTGGGATCTCTTGGTGGGAGGTGGGAGAATCTCTTGAGCTCAGGAGTTCGAGACCAGCCTGAGCCCTGAGTAAGAGCAAGGCCCCATATATACTACAAATAGAAAAAAGGTGTTGTGCTGTACACCTGTAGTCCCAGATACTCAGGAGACTGAGGCAGGAAGATTGCTTGAGCCCAGAAGTTTGAGGTTGTAGTGAGCTATGATGATGCCAGTGCACTCTACCCAGGGTAACAGAGTGAGACTCTGTCTCAAAAAATAAATAAATAAAATCTTACGCTTTGCGTCATGTGGACATTATCAAGTTACAAGTCTTCATATGGTAAAGGCTTATTTCAGGATATCTTTATGTAAATATTTATTAAACATGTTTTTATACCCTTTGATACAGTAATGAACAAAACAGAAAATTTTTCTGTTCTTTTTTTTTCCCTACAAGAACTTTGACTAAAAATTTTCTGTTCTTATGACACTTACATTCTAGTGGGCCAAAATAGTAAGCAAGTAAATAGATAATTAGTTTTTGTTGGAGTTCTGCAAAGAAAGTAAATGGTAATGAGTTAGTGTGACGTGGTATACAGAAAGGTCACTGTGGATATAATCAGTTATTGCTGAACTAGAAACTATAAATTAGCATACTAAATTATAAACGAAGCATGATTTTGGTATAATCAATTGTACACTAGGTTTTTTGTATATTGTCGTTTTGTTTTGTTTTGTTTTGTTTTGTTTTTTGAGACAGAGTCTCACTTTGTTGCCCAGGCTAGAGTGAGTGCCATGGCATCAGCCTAGCTCACAGCAACCTCAAATCTCCTGGGCTCAAGCATCCTCCTGCCTCAGCCTCCTGAGTAGCTGGGACTACAGGCATGCGCCACCATGCCCGGCTAATTTTTTCTCTATATATTAGTTGGCCAATTAATTTCTTTCTATTTATAGTAGAGACGGGGTCTCGCTCTTGCTCAGGCTGGTTTTGAACTCCTGACCTCGAGCAATCTGCCCTACTCAGCCTCCCAGAATGCTAGGATTACAGGCGCCCTACTCAGCCTCCCAAGAGTGCTAGGATTACAGGTGTGAGCCACCGAACCCGACCAGTATATTGTTTATTATAAGAGACTTTAAAGGAATTGCCCTTGAATTGCATCCAAGTATTGAAATGCTGAGGTTATTGTGAGGTTCATCCTTCATATCACCTCAGATGATGTGTTCAGGTACCAATGTTTAGTCCTCAGATTTTATTTTCTTCTATGACTTTTCAACTGTTGCAATAAATTAGAAACTCTCTGAAAATTTTACTTTGAATATGACTCAAAAACTTGAAAAATTGTTTTTTGGTCCAGCTCTCAAGTCCTGACTTTGAGTTTTTGACTCTTGATGGTGGCGTGGACTCTGAAGTAATTAAAGCTGGTAATGTGGGGAATTTACAATTTATATTTGTGCTCATGTATTTTTTTTTAATTACTTTTTTCTTAGGTATGATGAGATGAGTATTCTCTTCACAGTTTTGATTACTGAAACTACTTTGGAAAATGGATTAATACAGCTGAGAAGTAGAGATACCACAATGAAGGAAATGATGCATATATCCAAATTAAAAGACTTTTTAATCAAGTATATATCATCGGCTAAGAATGTATAGATTTTTGTATTCATATAATAAATATTTTCTCCTAATTTAGTTGTCTTATGTTAACTTGGATTATTTTTAGCCCCTCTTTGCACTTATGAAGTGGATGTTTTTGGTGCTTTCTTTGATTCTGTTTTTATTGTATTTTTGATGTATTTCTACTGTATTGGGAATAGGTTCACTATAAGAAACAAAAATCTTATTAAACTGGATAAAGCCATTTGGGGTTTGTTTTCCTCATATAAGAAGAAACCCAGAGGGTAGACAGTCCAAAGCTGGTATAGCTGTTTATAGTGAAGGACCCAGGTACCACGTCTTTCTGTTCTACCGTCTTCAGTGTGTTGGCTTTTATCTTTATACTGGTTGCCTCATGATCACAGGTGGCTACTGTATTTCCAGCTTCTCATCCTTCTAGTTAGGACTAAAGTCAGAGACAAGGGCTAGCCAGCCAAGACTCTTCCAGTTTTAATTAGGAAAGTAAAAGCTTTTCCAGACCTCTCAATCGGAAGACTTCTTTACATCTCATTGGTCAGAACTGCATCACATGGTAATTTCCAGACCAATCACTGTCCAAGAGAATGAGACTATCCTGATTTAGATCAAATGCAGTTTATCCCTTGGAGCTACAATAATGTCTTACTGTCTCTGAAATGGGTTTTGTTATCAGGGAAAAAGGGATCTTTATGGACTCTGCCACATCTATACTGCCAAATATCAAAGATTAACCTAAAACTAAATTTTTAATAAAACATTTATTGATTTTTGAAAAGCAAGCTAAAATAAATGTTAGAAGTAATCTAACTATTGCAGTTTATTTCATTTCTGATTCTAATTGATGTGTATAAGAAATCTTTGAACTTTTATATGTGCTAATTGTTTGTGTAAATATTCCATTATTACTAACTTGAGAAAAAGACCAACTAATAATTCATGTAAAATGTCTTGAAATTTTGCCTAATTTGTCTTAGTTGACTTTACTTGGTAGGATTTTTCTTGTATCTTTTTCTTCTTTTTTTTTTGCTGGTTTATTTTCATTACGGAGAATTCCAAACACAGGCTTATACAGATTAGTGTAATTAATCCCATGTGCCTGTTATCAGCAACCATCAACCCGTGGCTAAACCTGTCTCATCCACCAATACCACCTTTCCATATTATTTCAAAGCAGATCACAAACATTTCATGTGTAAACATTTTAATTAAGGATCTTTTATTAGCCACAATACCATTACCACACCTAAAAAGTAACAATGATATTAAGGAATTATTGAAAAATTTCTTCAGTGTGATAATGGTAGTATGGTTATGTTTTCCTTTTAAAAAAATATTTGATAGGAGAAATACATAAATATTTTTGGGTGAAATATATCTGATACTTGCTTTAAAATTTTTCTGTTTAAAAATTTTTTAAGTGGTGGGAGATAGATGAAATAATAGTTGAAGCTGGGTGACTGGCATGTGGGGGCTCATAGCATATACTATTTTTGTGTATGTTTGAGAATTGCCATAATAAAACTTTGAGAAAGTCTTTTTTTTTTTTTTTTTTTTTGAGACAGAGTCTCGCTTTGTTGCCCAGGCTAGAGTGAGTGCCGTGGCATCAGCCTAGCTCACAGCAACCTCAAACTCCTGGGCTCAAGCGATCCTCCTGCCTCAGCCTCCTGAGTAGCTGGGACTACAGGCATGCACCACCATGCCCGGCTAATTTTTTCTATATATATATTAGTTGGCCAATTAATTTCTTTCTATTTATAGTAGAGACAGGGTCTTGCTCTTGCTCAGGCTGGTTTCAAACTCCTGACCTCGAGCAATCTGCCCGCCTCGGCCTCCCAGAGTGCTAGGATTACAGGTGTGAGCCACCGCGCCCAGCCCGAGAAAGTCTTTAATATCAAATATCCACTTAGTTTCTGCCTCATAAAATCATAAAATTTTGTAGTTTGTATCAGGATCCAAATAAGGTTCGTACCTTATTGAGATTGGTGAGTAGGTCTTTTAGTCTCTTATCCTATAGATTCACGCTCTCCTTTTAAGAAACTTGGTTTCTAAACTTTGTGTCTAGGTGCCCGGGATACAGCAGGGAACAGACAAGGTCCTTCTAGCAGTGGCAAGCAGAGTAAGCACATGAGAAGGTAATTTCAGATAGTAATAGTGTTGGAAATAGAACGGGATGATGCGTAGAGTAGCGGCCAGGGTGTTGTGCTTCACATAGGTGGTCAGAGAAGCCTCTGAGAACGTGATGCTTGAACTGAGACTGAATGATGTGAAGGAGCCGGCATGTGAAGGCCTGGGGTGGCACATTCTGGGCCACGGACTAGCATGTGCCAAGGTCCTTAGGAAGGAAAAGGCTTGGAGCCGTCAAGGAACAAAGCAGGCAAGCAGGGCTGGAGTCGAGTGCAAAGTGCAGACACAGGTGGGAGATGAAGTCAGAGGTAGGGCCATGTCACTTGGTGCCATGGGGGCCATAGTGAGGAGTCCGGAGTAAATAAAAGCTGGTAGAAGAGAGTAATACAGGATAATACTTTTATGACCTCACGGTGAGGAAACATTTCTTCATCTGGACACACACACGCAAATAGTTATAAAGGAAAAAGACAAGTTCTTAAAATTCAGACTTCTTTTCATCCCCATTAAGAGGGGAAAAAATAATCATGGCTGAGTACGGTGTGTAATCCCAGCACTTTGGGAAGGCAAAGCAAGAGGATTGCTTGAGGCCAGAACTTCAAGACCAGCCAGGCAACATAGGGAAACCCTGACTCTACAAAACAAAAAAAATTAGCCAGGCTTGGTGACATGTGCCTGTAGTCCCAGCCACTATTCAGGAGGCTGAGGCAGGAGGATTGCTTGAGCCCAGGAGTTTGAGGCTGCAGTGAGCTGGGCTGATGCCACTGCACTCCAGCCCAGGTGACAGAGGGAGACCCTCTCTTTCTAAAACCAACAAATTATATGTGTATGTGTATATATAGACACCTATGTATATGAAAAGGCATACAACTTTATTAATCATCTGAGAAATGCAAATCAATATCACAGCAAGATACCGCTATACACCCACAAGAATGGTCAATATGAAAATGACCGACAGTGCCAGTGTTGGTGAAGATGTGGGGGATGGGAACTTTCACATTGCTCATGGGAGTGTGAACGTGGCAGAACCACTTGGGAAAATCGAATAGCATTATCTACTTAGATTGGAGATAAACATTCTGTGGACCCGGCCATTCCATTCCTGTGTGTATTCAACAGAATCGCATGCACGTGGGCACTAGGAGATACGCTCATAGCGGAAGGATATTCAGAGGAGCATCATTTGTAATGGCACCAAACTGACAACAGCCCCAAATGTCTGTCAACTATAAGATAGATAACTTACAGTGTATTAAAACAATGGAATACTATTTAGCAATGGAAGTAAATGAATT